ATTTATACTTAAAATATTTAGCTATTGAGTTACTATTTATTAACCATAAATGTATGAAATTCGATATCAACAAATTTTAAATAACTCGAAAAATCAGTCTGCTTCAGAATAAGATATTAAAATTATTTACTATTTTTGTAGAAAGAAAACCACTGTAAAAACTATGATGATACAAATAGTAAGTATATTTTTTCAAAAACACCGTTTCGTTATTAGTACCTACTCAATGTGTGAAAAAAAAATAAATACATTTCCAAAAACGTTAGTGGTTGCTTTTTGAGAAAACGAGTATTTGCCTCGAATCGCCTTGTATATTGTTATTGCATATAATATTATCCTCCCGGGAGGGTCGAATATTTTGYTTTGAATTGTTTTTTATTTTATTTATTTTTTTAACGAAGACAAATCGTCGGCGTTTAACAATAAGAATAAAAACGACAATGATGACGACGACGAAAAAAACATACTTTATTCTYCGTTTCTATGTTATGCGCGTGACACTAATAGCGTGGATCGCCACTATAATGTCGGACAGTCGTGTGCGTACCTATACCTACTTACCTAGGGATAAATGTACCTACTAGCCATAAAAGCATCGYGAAAAATCGGCAAAACTCGTTCGGGTTGTATATATTCATGATATTTATAGATAGGTACTAAGGTACGTGCGTATATGTATAATACCTATGTATGCATGAATAATTCATAAACAAACGTCTTCGCCTAATTYGCTTTTTCCCGTATATCTCTTGCTGTATAGTTCGATAGAGTGTTTTTCTTTATAGCCATTTGAGTTATCCAACATAATTTTCCCGTACTTTAAACAGTGCTATTATATAAATTGTATAAACCGTTGTAGTCTTTGTAATGGTAATAATAATAATAATCATACAAAATATAAAAAAATGGATCGTACCTTACTACCTTAACAGACGAAAGGAAGTTGCAATCACGAGATACATAATCCATAATGGATAATGGATATCCATTTTTAACTTATTCTTTCCACATTAGCAAAGATCCACCACCCACTTTTGAGTAATGACTCACMAATCTATCAGTTCAACGCATTATCATTGATTGCATCAAGTATCGGGACGTAAGAAACAACTTAGCAATGAAAACAACATCTCCAAAATTATTTCATTTCTAACCAAAATCAATCTTTTAAGCAAATTTTAATAATGTACAAACCTTTTTACATATAGTCTTTAAGTTCGAATACTCTTAATAAATTTACCTTTGTTTTTCAACTATTTCNAAGCACTATCCAGGTCAAGCTATTTGGATTCAAAACACATCATTTATTTTTAAACACATTACAATATGAGCTCTAAGATTAAGTCTATTATTTTTGTAACTCATAAATGAAATAAAAATCTCAGAAATTGTTGTCTTTTACGATGAATTTAAAATATAATTTTTATTTCTTCAGACTAGGTACCTACGTTCGTTTCAATTAAATTTTAAGGTGAAGTTATATGTAGGTTCCCATAGTTTATGTTGAAATAAATCTCAATTACCATTTTTTGAGTAGTTTGGTTTTTATATACGGTCTTGAATTTCAATTAGGATGAATTAATTTAATTTAATTTAATTGATTAATTTGTAACTTTACAGTATAGAAAAGTGGTTATATATTAATCAACATTCAAGTGGAAAGTTTATCGTTACGACCGCTAATTAAACTCTTTTCATTTATTACATTACTCAAAAAAAAAAAATAAAAAAAATAGTATATAACAATACTTGAAAGATCGTTTATAGTTACTTTTTTTTCGTTGTGTACAAACTATATCTAGATCGTATTGTACTGACCAACAATATACCTACAAAAATCTTGTACAGTACTTACTTTAAGTTATTACAACCAGCAGCAATACAATAGTAATAATGTACACCTTAAGGCTTATCAACAAATCCCCGAAACTTAGATTTATCGTATAACTTGTGCGTCGCAATCTAAAGGGTCATATAATAGTAAATTTGGCCCACATTTTGGATCATCTCCAATTTTTCAAAAGCCTTCTCTACTCTTAGCAACTGCCAAACTACCATCGGTCTCAATTGCGTCCGAATCAAGGCTGTTTTTCCGATATRAATTAAAGCGATGGGGTTCAAATATAGTAATAATATAATTATGTAACACTTTTATTATTAACCTTTATTATAATTAATAATAATAATATATTTATATTATACATTAAAACACATGTACTTATAAACGTGTATTAATGCAATTTTCAGCCAGCTTGTGTAGATTGATTAAATTAAATTATAACCACGTAGATTCAAAGTACAGTAATCAAAGATTTGCAAAACAATTAGATCGTGTTCGAGAATAAGTGGATAGTGATGTCTCGTACCACTCCATCCCCATTAATAACACACAGGGTGATATTTTTATCAATATAATAATAATAATAAGATTGGTAAATGTATGAATTAAAAACATTTGTTTGTTTTTCTAATTATTTGAATTTACTGCAACTAACATGTTTTYAAACAAAAATGTGTATTATTTTAAAATTTAATGYGTCATGTTGYAAYAACTTAAAATTATTAAGGAGAACATAGGAGATTTTCAAAAACATTAATTTATCAAAATATTACTGTTTGTTGTTAAAATAATCATATTATACCGGCAAATATAAAATTTATGTAAAAATTAGCATTCTTCGATAATATTATACATAGGTAGTAGATTTTATAAATACATATAAGATGTGACTATTTTTTTTTCGGCAATCGAAAGATTTTAAATTCATTTCTTACAGCTACGGCGTGGTACCTGTAAGAAAAGTGTGAGGCTCAGCGATTATATTATTCACCTACACGCATCGTTGATGTCGTCGCCGCGCCGTCATCATCATCTTTCAAAACGCACATATTATAAAAGGTACCTATATAATGTTACGCGGTTTAGCGGTAAATATATTCAGAGTTATTTTTTATACATTTCCCTGACAGTTAAAAACGGTCTCGGAGATGTGTATAAATATATATATATATATATATGATGTATAAGTATATAAACGACGCATATAATAATAATAATAATATACCACCTCACCTCGAATAGTTGGCCCGAACAAAATAATATAAATATGCCACCGGAAGCGTTCTAAACATATTCACATTTAAAGGTTATATCTCGTACGGAAATATTCGTGTAGATATGTCAAAATATTAAGGAAACGCATCCATGCACATATTATTGTGTATCGAAACGTAACTCGTCGGTAAGCCAGTGTAAATGTGTCTAACCCAGTAG